GAGCATGCTAAGCTATGGGAAGGGAGCTCACTGGGCTAACCATATATATTTTTTTAATCTTCTCAATTTACCCATGACTTTTAAATGGCTTTTACTCAGATAGAATTTGCCTTTGTGTCACATGGATTTTGTTAATAAGTTGTAAAGACTATTCAGAAAAGACTTCAGAAAATTCACCTTTTTTATGAAAAGCTAAATTATATTCATGATTGTCATTCAATTGCTTCTGTTCTCTCAGTACCTTTATGTAATGATCTTGTCAAATTTCAAAGTAGTTTACAGATATTAAAGTACCTAGCTTGTTGTTTTTTTAATTTTACGAGTTTTTTTCTTCATAGAAATGAAGGGACAAAAGGTGAACAAATGCAGCAGTGGTACTTACCTAGACACTGTTAAAAATAAACTGTACAATTTGGAGGGGATGGGAGGGAAAACTGGGAGAGAGGGAGGGGAAACTGGGAGAGAGGGAGGGAGGGGGTGATATTGTCCAAAAGGGAATGTACTCATTACCTGACTTATATTACTGTGACCCCTCTGTACATCATCTTTATAATAATAATTTTAAAAGTAGCTGATTTCCCCTACCAAAAAAAAAAAGACCAGATAAGAAATATATTTGGCTTTGTAGTTCATAGGATCTCTGTTAAAGTTATTCACTTCTGCCATTGTAGAAAACACATAAATATGTTGCTGTGTACCAATAAAACTTGATTTATACAGAAAGAAAAAATGCTTTTAAAAATCAACTTATGGGTTTTAAATTAAAATTTTCAAATGTAATCACTGCATTCCTTCTGGTCCTTTTGATGTTTAGTTTTGTGTCTTTTTTCTAAGTGACTATCATAAATTAATTTCATTTGTAAATAATTGTTGTTTCCTCTCTACAAGACACAATTCCAGATGTGGAATTTATTGCTGAATAAATAATAAAGACAAGGCCCCAGTGAGGGAGACAAATAAATGGAAAATATTAAGTAATATTAACTGCTGTGTGGCTAATTTGAAGAGTAATGTAATAGAGGAGGTCTACATAACTACTTCAGATTGAGTGGTCAGGAAAGGATTCTCTCTGAGGGGGTGATATTTAAATTGAGACTCTGACAGATAGGACACTAGCCATATGCATACTAGAATGAAACATAGTAATGTAAAGACATTAGGAGGTTGGCCTCCTACAGAGGCTAAGAAGACTCCTGTGTTGAGCAGTGAATGGAGAGAGCTGGTAACAGGAGTTAAGGTTGAAGAGGTAGAGTTCAGATCATGTAGGTCTAAGTACCTTGATAAGGTACTTGGAATCTCTGGAAGACTAGAGTGATGTGATCTATAGTTAAGGTAGGAAAGTAGAGTGGTCTAAACTGAGAACCTCTCACCTCCAAATATACATAGACAAAAGATTGCTTTTCTGCTAAGTCATACCAAATAACTGAGTTTTTCTAGAAAAGCTGCCTTAGAGATAAGAAATTGGGCCAAATTCCATTTTTTGAGAATCCCATCTTCACTATTAACTCTTTTAACACTGAGCAAATTATAAGACTTCTTTCTGTACTGGTTTCTTCATCATTAAAATAAAGATAATAGTACTTGACTTTTAAAATAGTTTTTAATTGAAAAAATGCATGTATTTAGAATCGTCCTTGGGACATAAGAAGTACTTAATAGATATTCAGTCTTTTTTGCTGTCAAATCATGATTGTAATCCCAGTAGCTATTCTGGAGACTGGAGTATGGAGGATCACAATTTGAAACCAGCACATGTAGTTCATTACTTGAAAAGAGACTATTTCTATAACTTGGCTATGATGAATACTGCAGTAAGTATCCTTACTGTATCCTGACTTGTAATCTTTTAGTTAAATGCCTAAGAGTGGTATTGTTGGATCATAGGGTAGTAGTTTAGGTTTTAATCATCTTTATTCCAAATACTAACTGGGTTTGTACACCTCTAGTCCAGGTATTCAGGATACTGGAGAAGATGAATTTGTAAATTTGTAAGTTCTAGATTAGCCTGGGCTACATAATCACACTCTGCTGAAAGAAAAAACAAAAGGAAAGGAAAAAGAGGAGGAAAGTGAGGAGGAGACAACTGGTGGCTCATGCTTGTAATTCTAGCTACTCAGGAGACTAACATCTGAGGATCACAGATCAAAGACAGATCAGGCTGAAAAGTCCATGAAACTCTTCTCTAGTTAACCACCAAAAAATAAGGAGAAAAAAGCCAGAAGTAGAGCAGTGGTTCAAATAGTAGCGTACTAGCCTTGAGCAAAAAAGCAAAAAACTCAAGGACTACACTCAGCGCCTGGGTTCAAGCTCCTGGACCAGACTGGTACCAAAAAAACAATAAAAATAAATACTAATTAGAATGATAATGTAACATTAATCATTACATAATATCAGATTTATATATGTCTGTTTGGAAGTATGATGTGATGCTATTAGATCCATGTGATGTTAGAACCACTCTGTTCTAAAATCTATCCACTTCCTCTAAGCTGTGGATCATATCTCTATAAGCCCTACTTACATAGTAAGGAAGAATACACATTTTACTTAGTTTTAAGTCTATTTAAGACTGCCTGAAGGACAAAGGGAGTTAAAGCCTCTGCATTTTCATTAGCCATTCATTGCTAGCTGCCTTGTTAAAGGAAATATTGATGTTTTCTGGGATTCTTCTCTCTGCATGCACATACAGAGGCATATAATTACTACAAAGGAAGTGGGGGAGGGACAACTGCCAAGGGGAGATCCACTTCCTCTTCTTTGTTCACATCTGCTGCTTGGAAGAGACAGGATTTATTGCTTTCTTTAAGAAAAGGATTGCCTAGTTTGCTACCCCTCCCCCCCTTTCTGGTGGATCATCCCTGAGGAATATTACATCTCCTGACACTTATCTCCAAATGAAGTAAAACTAAATGAAGAGGAGCTGGAAGCAGAGAATCAGTTGAAGGGCTAGAAATACTTGCAAATAAGAGAGAGGCTGACAAGTGCATTCCACACCAGTCTAGTCAGTCTCCCTGCCTCTATAGTTCCTTCTTGGTGACTACAGTAAGCAGGTGTTCTATTTCCATTTCTTCCATTTTGAGCTCCGCATATTGGCATAAGATTTTGTTTTATCCACACTGAAAGAATTCTTAATGGTCTTTAGATGATATTTGATACATCTTTTTTTTTTCCTGTTTTCTAGTTTTCATTTCTGGGATAAACATCACTCCCTACTTACCCCTTTGTACTTCTTCCTCCTCTACCTCATTCTCTAAATGTATGGAAAACTATTATTTCTTTTGTATTTTCCAGCCTCTATGAATATTTAAAACATGATAACCTGTAGATAGCCTATGTTTATTTTTTGAAGTTTTATTATGAATAACAGGATTAAAGGAGGGAGAAATAGAAATGACAAGAAACATTTCCTATTTTCCATGCAGGAAATAAAAGTTAAAGACTCAATATAGTGTCTCCTATCTATAATATATATATATATATATATTTTTTTTTTTGGTCATGGGACTTGAACTCCGAGCCTGGGCACTGTCCCTCAGCTGTTCAGCTCAAGGCAAGCACTCTACCACTGAGCCACAGCACCACTTCAATTTTTTGAGTGGTTTATTGGAGATAAGAGTCTCAAGGACTTTCCTGTCCTGGCTGGCTTTGAACCACGATCCTCAGATGTCTGCCTCCTAAGTAGCTAGGATTACAGGTGTGAGCCACCAGTGCCCTGCTGCTTTTTAAATTTTTATTCAATTGTACCATCTTCTAGATATCTCTCACTTGTTTCTATTTCCAGTTAGATTTCTTTGGGCAAAGTGCAAAGTGCTCTGTTATTGATACTCTTCTAATGAAAATTTTTGCTAATAACATGAGGTTGCACTGTATTTTTTATGTTTTTTGGTTTGTTTGTTTCCAGTCATGGGTCTTGAACTCAGGGCTTGGGTGCTATCCCTGGGCTTTTTTTTTTTTCTTAAGACTAATGCACTTTCACTTTGAGCCACCACTCCAATTCCAGTTTTCTAGCTATAGTATTGGAGATAAGAGTCTCATGGACTTTTCTACTTAGGTTGGCTTCTAACTGTGATTCTTACATATCACCCTCCTCAATAGATAGGATTACAGTCATGAGCCACCAATGCCCTGCCTTGCATTGTACTTTTTATAAGTATAAAAATCTCAGGCTGGGGGGTGCTGGGAAGGTGGCTCAGTGGTAGAGCGCTTGCCTAGCATGCATGAGGCCCTGGGTTCGATTCCTCAGCACCACATAAGCAAGAAGAAAAAAGCCGGAAGTGGCACTGTGGCTCAAGTGGTAGAGCGCTAGCCTTGAGCTGAAGAGCTGAGGGACAGCACCCAGGCTCAGAGTTCAGGCCCCGCAAGTGGTAAGTGCTAGCCTTGAGCTGAACTGCTGAGGGACAGCACCCAGGCCCAGAGTTCAGGCCCCACAAGTGGTAGAGCGCTAGCCTTAAGCTGAACTGCTGAGGGACAGCACCCAGGCCCAGAGTTCAGGCCCCATGACCAGACCCCTCCCCCACCCCCCAAAAAATCTTATGCTATTCTCTATCTGAGTTTTCTCTTGGAGAAAGATGGTAAGCAGAATTTTTTTCTTAAGAATATTTGTTATCTGGATTGTGTACTTTTAAAACCATCCTTTCATTTGTTTATTACAATAACCCTGTAAAGCAATCAGTATTGGTGTTATTATTCCCATTTTGCAGATAAAGTTGAGATTTGGTGCAGTTATTTGTCTGAAGTCTTAGAGGAAACAATGTTAAGCAAAAATTTACTTGAGATTCAAACCATGATAAACCTTTAAACACTTTTTTTGTTTGTTTGTTTGTTTTGTTTTTGCTCTACCATCTCAGAAGGTGGTATAGGAAATAATGAAAGTCTGAGGGAATTGATAATGCTTTCAAAGACCTGCTGCAGTTTTACTTGTTCTGTGGCCATGTGCTTGGGCTGCCATAACAAATACCATAGACTGAGCAGCTTAAGCAGCAGAAATTTATATTTTTTTACAGATCTAGTGGCTGGGAATTCAAGATCAACATGCTGATGGAATTGGCAGTGAAGTTTCTGTCTTCTGGAGTGCAGGTGGCATCTTTTCTATGCATCCTTATATGACTTTTTTCCCCTTGAGGAACAGAGAGAGCTCTCAATCTTCTTCTTGCCTATTAGATTATGGACCCACCTTAACAGCTTCTTTAAATTTTAATTAACTCCTCTGTAGCTCTGTCTCCAAATGTTTTTAAATTGTGGGGGGAGGGTAGGGTAGGTATGAATGGGAAAGGCATAGTTAAGTCTATAACACCATGTTGATAGGTTTTGATACTTTCTGATTTTCTGGCTTAATCTGGTTAGTTGGACTCAAGCTATGTTTATATTCAATAGTTGCATGGAACCAAATATAAGAAATATCTGTATTTCTCTGGCCACAAAGGCTTGTTACATCTGTGGCACTTGCTATAAAGAACATTATAACTCTTAAATATTTTAATTAAAAAGTATCAAAATGTTACTACTTGTCATGTAACCTTGTTTGCTAAAAAAAAAAAAAAGTACAAGTAATTACTGTTCTCCTTTCTCTCCATAACCAGTCTTTACAGATGGAGAAATTAACATACAGAGAAACTGACTTGTCAGAGGTTGGAACAAGCTGTTAGTGGATCCAGGAATAAATCCCAAACCTCTTAACTCCTTAACCAGTTTTTAGTCCATTGACTATGCATCCTAGTGGTAAGTATTTACATTACACTACCCTAAAGGTAAGAAAGATTAAGAAACCTAGCAAGAACTGAATTTAAGAATTCTTTACTTCAAAATGTACCCATTATCTTGCCCATGTAATTGTAACCCCTTTGTATGGTATTTTTACAATAAAAAAAAGAATTCTTCACTTCTAATTAAAACATACATTCTCTTTATAGCCATAATGTCATTTTTGTCATTAGCATGAATTTTCCAGTTTGAGAGATGATGTTAGAAAATTTGCTTTTAAGGTATTATTTTACGAGATTAGACACATTAGAAATTATGATTAAGCAGACAAAAAAAGAAAATCATAGCAATTTCTGGAAGAGATTCTTGCCATCTTCATAGTGACTTTTTAGTTGTATTATTTGGATTTATTAGAAACAAAATTTAAGGCTTAGATTTTAAATCAGATTTGAGTTTTATGGACATTAAGAACCTATTGAAAACATTTAAAGAGAAAATGTATATGTTTAAGCATAGTTTCTAATTTTTTATGTTTATCCTTTTTCATCCCTTGCTCAAGATTTACTGAGTGGGAATGGTTTGTCTTACCTGGGATAATCAAGTTATCTGTTCGTGGCACCAAAATTATCACATTTTCTCAACAGCCTATTCTACCTCTATATCTGAAATAACTAGGATTCTTTTAATTACTAGGAAAAATGAATAGCACAGTTACATGAGAAAAAAAGGTATAATCCTTATATTAACAGGTTCTCTTGTCTATCCCTCTCCTCTGCTGACATGATACTAATAGAAATGAATGTAAACCACATATATAATTTAAAATTTTCCAATAGCCACATTAAAGAGGTAAAGAATAGTAAGGGAAATTAATTTATCTAAAAAATTGGAATATAAAAATATAAAATAAATAATATAAAAAACTTTTGAAACCTAGAGTGTTTTTTTTTGTAGCACAGCTTAATTATGATCTCAAATTTTATCAGAATTGCTTGATCTGTATTTAGATTTCCTAAATTTACAGTTGAAAAGTAGACTCATATCCAATTCTGTTCCAAATATTTATTTGTTTTTCAGTAACTGTAATTTTTAAATTTTGTTAATAAAAATAAAAATTACATACACTTTTCCGATCATATAAGCAACATTTCAAATATTCAGTAACTGTATGTGATTAGTAGCTACCATATTAAATTGAACAGTTCTAATATGAAAAGGTTTCTTTATACTATTCCTTCTCTAATACTTTTCTCACTATTCCATTGCTAGCCACCAAAACTTAAAGTGTCATCTCTTCCTTAACATCTTCTTTTCCACTCCTCTTCCAGGTTGTACCTGGGCATCTCCTTATCTCTTTTTTTCTGAGCCCCAGTACTTATTTACTTTTTGTTTATGTGCTAGTCATGGAGTTTGAATTCAAGGTGTGGGCACTGTCCCTGAGCTTCTGTGCCCAAGGCTTAGCACTCCACTTACAGTATTAGAAGAACTTAGTACTACCACCCAAAGAGAACCAATTATTGTTGACTTTTTTCCCAGTAATAATTTGGGAGATGGTATTAGTGTGTTAGGACTGCTGTAACAAAGACCATAAACTTGATGATCAAAAAACCCAGAAATTTCTTTCTGGACAGTTCTGAAGGATGGAAATCCAAATCAAGATCAACATATCAAGGTATCAACAACACTGGTTTCCTCTGAGGCTTCTTGCCCTTAGTGTATATAGATGGCCACATTCTCCCTCTGCCTTTATGCCATATTTTTCTGGCTCTATCTGTACCCAAATTTCTTTTTTTCTTTTTCATGCTAGGGATCAAATCCAGGGCCTTGTAGATGCTAGGCAAACACTAATGATTAGCCACACCCCTAGTCAAATACTCTTATGAATATGCTAATAGGAATCAATTAATAAACTTATTCTTAATTTAAAGATTCTGCCTCCAGGGCTGAGAAGATGACTCAGTGGTAGAGTGCTTGCCTTGCATGTATGCATGAGGCCCTGGGTTCAATTCCTCAGTACCACATAAATAGAAAAAGCTGCAAGTGGTGCTGTGGCTCAAGTGGTAGAGCGTTAACCTTGAGCTGAAGAGCTGTGGGATGGTGCCCAGGCCTAGAGTTCAAGCCCCACGACCACAAAAAGCAAAAACAAAACTTCTGCCTCTAAATATACTCCTAGTCTGCAGCAGTGGGGAGTGGAAACTTAAAGTAAAGTTTGATAGGGTACAATTCACCCAGTGGAATGCTGTTTGCTTTTAGCTTTTTTTCATAATTGTAAAGGTTTTTTTTAGCTTTTTACATAATTGTGATTATTCCATAAATCTAATACTTGTGTCCTTAGCCTTATCTTTAATATCATTATATTATAAATATTTTCCAAGTTATTCTTTAGCCTTTAATACAATTTTATCAGCTGTAAAAACTTTGCCAAGTGGTTTTCCAACCAAATCTTTTATCAATTTCTATTTGAATGTTTAGGTATTCCTTCTTCTCTTTGCCTATTATTAACAATAATAAAGTTTTTTAAATAAAATATTTTTCTGAATTTGGATTATTCCCTCAGAATAGAATTCTGGAAGTGGATTACATTCTTAAAACCTGATGAGCTGAGTATAGTAGTGTATACTGTAATCACTGGCAGGAGAAGGAAGATCAAAAGTTTGAGGCCAGTCTCAACAAAATTAGGGAGATCTATGTAAAAAACCAAGGGGCTTGCAGTATAGGTCAAGTAATGGGGCCTCGCCCTCTGGGCTTACTTCCCAGTATCAAAAAACAAAACAAAAAAAAAAACCAAAAAATCCCAAGTTAGTGAAGCATGCTGCCAAACCAGAGAAATATTAAATCGGGTTTTCTTGTTTTCATTTCCCACAGTGGTAGACTGGAATGAAGCTAGAAAACACAAATATGGCCACCTGTCAGAGTGTACATGCCAATATCAAGGTAAGAAAAAGCTATTTACTATGAAAAATTTTTATTTGACATTTCTTACCATAAAACTTTTGTTCTTAGATGTCCATGTTTACTAGTAACTCTGGTTAAATCAAAAGCAAATAGATTGTTATTTTTAGAGGTTCCTGTCAAAAGCAATATGCTTTGGGCTAGAAAATCAAGAATCCCATCTTCTGAGTATAAAGAATCCCAAATTGGCTTTTTAGGCATCACTGCGTAGCTTATGTCTTTCCAGAGATTTTACTTATTTAAAGCTCAGAAGAAAGGCAAGGAAGTGGCGCTGTGGCTCAAGCAGTAAAGCGCTCGCTTTGAGCTGAAGAGCGAAGGGACAGCGTCCAGGCCCAGAGTTCAAGCCCCACGACTGACCAAAAAAGAAACAAGAAACAAAAATTTCCAGGAAATTTTAAAAGCCAGGCGCCAGTGGCTCACGCCTGTAATCCTAGCTACTCAGGAGGCTGAGATCTGAGGATCACGGTTCAAAGCCAGCCCGGGCAGGAAAATCCCTGAGACTTTTATCTCCAATAAACCACTAGAAAACCGGAAGTGGCACTGTGGCTTAAGCGGTAGAGTGCTGCCTTGAGCTGAAGAGCACAGGGACAGCGCCTAAGTCTAGAGTTCAAGCCCCACGACTGACCCCCCAAAAAAAACAGAAAGGCAAAATTGGATTTTGTACTTCTACAACTACTAATAACTTTTAAAAATGAGATAATTGGAGTAAATACACTTTTAACACAGAATTTGAACTTTGTTATTTTGGTACATATGTCATGATGATTCTGCTTTAACATTTTTTCAATAGAAACTGCTGACTTCCTGGAGCTAGGTAAGATATTTTTCTTGTTTCTGTTAAATAAGGGGAATTACTAGACAGATATTAGATTGTAATCAGCTTTAACAAATTAGGAAAAGAATTCCATGTATTTTTCTCATAATCCAGTGAACCCTGTGCTCTTGTCTGCCTAATTAGCCTATGTAATTCATTAAATCCTATTTATCTGGAGGCTATAGATCAAGCTAACAAAAGGAAGGAGGAATGGTTTATATAGAAAACAGGGAAATAAGGAAACTGTACCAAACTGGAAATAACATCTTAATTCTCTGAATCTAAAACTAAAACAAATCCTTACTGATCATATATTGTTCTTTTGGGATTTTTCCTCTAAGAACTTACTGGAAGATAGATTGACTTTAAAATAAATCTTACAGTTTTGTGAAGCTATGACTAAATAACTGAAATTTTATCAAATAACAAGTCATATTGATACTTCATTTTGTTTTCATCCATGAATAGTGTACTTTAAGACTAGGATTTAAGAATAGAACTAATACTAGTATTTTTCAATAAGCTTTCAGGATTTATATATAAACATCAGCTTTCGTAGCTTAGAATTCCTTAAAGAAATCCTTCCACATATTGCATAAGTGTTGATATCCTGATGCCTTTATCAATTTTTATTCACATATTTTAATGTTTTGTTAATGTAACTTAATATTTTCAGCTCTTTATTTTCATTCTGTATTTGCTTATTCTCACCACTCCTTCCTGTAACATATCTTTTTTTTTTTTAACATACTTTTTTCATTGCTCACTGACAGAAGGCTATAGAACACTAGACTAGAAGTTAGAACTTCTGGTTTGTTGAAAGCCATCTCTGACAGTCACTTTCTGACTCTAATGTTCAGTTTTCTGATTGGTAAAATGGGGATAATAATTCCTTTCTGCCTACTTCATTGTTGTAAGATTACTAACATAAGCTTATAGATATGAATATATCTTAGAATCACTCTAATATTTTTCAGCTTTGGGGAATTATTTTTATTGTGTTCAGTGACTATGCTGAGGCTTTATACTAAATAGGACATTCTTTGAACTGAGCGTTATGAATGTGAGCTGAATAAATTAATGAAGTGAAATAATACTATAAAGGTACCTGGAATTGGGTTATCAAATGATAGTTTTAAAACTCCTTAAAACTCTTCTTCAAACTTTCTAAGGTGCCAGTGTGTTGTGGGAAAGCTTAGACATAAAATTCAGGCAGGACTTGGCTCAGAGTTCTCTAGTGATCAGTGTTTGTGGCTTCAGATCAATTACTTAATCTTTCGAGCACATTTCCTCATTTTTAGAATGGCAGGCTGTAATTAACATCAGAGATATTGGATTAGTCTGGTGTGATACAGTCAATGATAGCTGCCACTTTTTGTTTTGTTGCTAATAGAAGTAACAATAGTTGTAATGCTGTGATAGCATTAAGAATGTTAACAGGAAGTTATGAAACATAGATGCCCAATTTATGTAAAGTATTTGTAACATTTGAAAGTATATTTTACCTCTTGAGAATATTGGTATGACAGGTATATCTTCCCAAATAAGTTGATGTTGCATATTTCATTTTTCCTGTCAAGCATTTAGAGCATCTCAAATACAAGACTAAAATAAAATTCAGAATTGTGACTCCTTGGTGCTAGAATAGATCTTTAAATAATACATTTGCTTAGCATTTCAAACTTTGATATTTTGTATTTCTTATAAAATTTCCTGTCTTGAACTCTTTAAATTGTTGTAGATTTTTAGTCATATCAGATAAATTGTTAGATATTTGTTTATTTGTTTTTGTTAGCCACATTCTAACTTTTAGTGCCATAGTCACTGTCTTCTGATTATTAGAAAGCATTTCTAGGAACTGTTTGCTTACTGCTGCTGTGATTTTCCTAGTCGCAGCCACCATTCTTACACAAATTCTTTATTGTTACATGTTCAGAGGGGTTACAGTCACATATATCAGATAAAGAGTACATTTCTTGTGCAACAGTGTCACCCTTTCCCTCATTCTCTCCCAGTTTTTCCCTCCTGACCCCACCTACCAGTTTTATAGTTCATGTTCAGCATAGTGTCTAGTGAATATCATTGCTGCATTTGTTCACCCTTTGTCCTATCTTTCCTGTGCCCCCTTCAAACCCTCCCAAAGATGGATAAACAAACACGACAAAGTTTCCATTTCCAAGAGTGCATTTCAATAAATACTATTTTATATGATCAGATGCACTTTTGTGATCCTCTCCTTAGAATATCCTCCTTCCTTTGGTCTCTCCGTGTAAATGCCTAGAAATCCTATATAATATAATGTATCATGTCCCAGTGTATTTTTTTTCTTTTATCATCCATTGTGTTTATTTGTAGATTTATAGGCATATTCTAGTTACCACAAATGAGGGAAACTATGCAACTGAAGTTTCTTTGGGTCTGGCTTACTCTATTTCCTTATGAATGGTGCACTATCATCTGATGGATGAGTAGAATTCTATTGTATATATGTACCACATTTTTTTAATCTATTCATCCACTGAGGACTATGTGGGTTGATTCCATATCTTGGCTATGGTAAACAATCCAGCTAACATCAGTTTACACCTAGATTTTTGACACAGCTCCCCAAACAACATCCAGCCCTACCTGCTCCATTCTTCACCCTGCAACCAGAATGACTGATACCTGAACACTGCTCTCTATAACCCCTTTTTGAAACTACTTTTTCTTTAAATTCTATCCAGCAACTATACCAAAAGATCTAATTTTTGGAGTTGTTTTTTCTCACCTCCAAGCCTTTGTACATGTTTTTCTTTTGTCTGAAACAAGCAGCTGTTTCCTTTCTCTTTGCCTCTTGCTTATCCTTTTACACTTTTGCTTAGGAGCCTGAAGTTTACTTCTGTCCACAAACCCTCTACCTCTCCAAGTTAACCTTTACCACAATAAACTATTTTGTATCTGACCTTCACTATAATGAAACTGATAGGAAAACATTGGATACAATTTGTTGTCTATCATCTAGCATAATACTATTTATATTTCTTGGATGAGTAGATAGAGAAATGGCTTTCTTACTCATGCTAAGTGTTCTTGAACTTCCTTTAGTTGGGTCTCAGGTGACATGGTCACATTTTCTACTGTGATTTGCTTTATCTCTCTCAAGCATAGTTCCCAGACTGAATTTGATAGCCCACATATGACTTTATTAGTCTAGGAAAGAAGATACTGTCACTTCTGTCCTGTTCCCCTCCCTTTTTTTCTTCCCTCCCTTCTTCTTTCCTTTTTGTGGTACTGGGGATTGAAGTTAGGATCTCATGCTTCCTAGGCAAATGTTCTACTATTTAAGCCACATCCCAGTCCACATGTTCTTTTCTTCTTTTTATTTACTTGGAAACTTTTTATTGAGCATAATTAGGTCTCAAATACTATGTTAAACTGTGGAGATTAGAAAATGAATAAGAGTTTAAATAGTTGGAATGACATGATGTAGAATATGAAGGTTAATAAACAATATGTTAGAATATAGAGAAATGGTAAGATGAGCAGTTATGAAACCAACATAGCTAAATTTCTTTTAGGCTACTCTTAAGGTCCTTTTTAGCTTGAACATTGTTATTCTGTATCTTGGAAGCCTCCAGAATCCAGACTTTTCACTTCAGGGTTACTGCCTAGCCTTTCAGGAACCTCTGATTTTTTCCCCCTATCTCAGCAGTCTTTCCTGTTGCCTAAAAAGAACATTAAACTTGCTTTAGGTGTTTTTTTTAAATTTTCGTTTCTTTTCTCTCCTTTTCATCTTTTTTTTCTTTCTTTTTCTTGGTGCCAATCCTGGGCTTGAACACAGGGTCTTGGCACTGTTCTTGAGCTTTTTTTTTTGCTCAAGGCTAAGTCGTCTACCATTTGAGCCCTAGTTCTACTTTCAGCTTTGGTGGTTAATTGGAGATAAGAGTCTCACAAACTTTCCTGTCTGGGCTGGCTTTGAACCCATTTAGGTGTTTTTTTTTTCCTATTAAATAAAATGCATGAAGTGATTTCCTTTTTCATCTTTATGCATTTTTTCATTATTTAGAGAATACCTCATTGATTTCTGTAATCAAACCCATGTAGATAAGAACTTACATATTTAATACAGTGTGTTTACCCATGTACAAAATGGAAAAAATTAAGTTTAACATTTCTAGACCAAGGTGGCTATTAATTTCTGTACAATGCCAACTCAATATGGTTTTAAAGTTGACAGTACAGCTAAAATTTCCAAAATTCAAATTATATATGCATATATATTCACATAAAAGACCAATAATAGCATTATGTTATACATCAATAGAGCAACAACTTTTCCAGGTTATATAGTCATCTGAACAAGAACAAAATTAGACATCCAAGCTAAGACAAATATCCATGTATGACAAAGAGCAAATGTTCTTAATTAGTAAAGACCGCTTTGAATCTGAGATGAAAGATTACCTCAGTTTATAAAAAAGGAAAGGTAAAAAACTGATAAGCTTCAAAAGGTCGTCAACATTATTAGTAATTAAAGAACTGCAAAAAAACATAATAGTATAAAAGGACACTTTAGCACACTCCATTAATAAAAAGCAAAAAAAAAAAGATTTAAAAATTTTTGAAAAAATTTTTGAAAAAATCAAAATTTTCAAAATTTTTGGAAAAAAAAAACCTTGAAACTCCAGAAACATGAAGTTGTTACTTTGTGATACCTGGCAACATTTTTTTTATTAGCTTCTCAATCATCATTTGAAAAGAAAATATTCTTGAATAACATCATTAAAAATAGCTCTGATAAAGCAAGTCACTACGTATCATCAAGCCAGGTACAAGCTATTTCCTTATTCTTTTTCAGTAAGGAGGAAGCCACATAGAAATGTTACTGAAGCATTATCACATAATTCAAGCTATATTTTTTTGCCTAACCTTTTGCTCCAACCTCTAGGCATTTAATGAAGGGCTGTACATATTAAATCACTAACACTCTTCTTTGAATACATTTTTAACTCCCAAAC